TTGGGGAGGAAGTCTCAATGTAGATATATGACCCTATAGAGGAAACAAAGAAAATGGAAAGACTGAACTATTGACGTTGAAATAGAAGAACTAGTTGTGAAATTGCTTCTTTTTTAAGCAACTTTGGTGGTTTTTTATTCTCTTACCTTTTCCACCGTGTCCAGAAGATGGCCCAGTTCCAGAGGAAGGAGTAGAACCACTATTTTTTGTCCAGTCGAAATCATCTGATGTTGCTTGTTTCCACGAGCAGAGATCCTTCTCAAAATCGCAAGATGGATCTAAAAGAAATAAACTAATAATTTGTCAGTGTAGTAAGTGGAGTTAGAGAGAAAAGACCTCAGCATGTTAAATTAGTAACCTTTGCTTTGTGAAGGCAAAGATCTCTATTGACACTTTTTAAAGACTGACGAAAAATATTCAGAGATTGCTTATTTCTTAGCTAGAATACTTTTATTTCATCTGGAACTCGAATGCTCTAATCTTGCATGTTCACCTTCGCATACTGCGAGATCAGTTATTTGTATGTTTGACTTTGCAGACTTTCTTAGTCTTTTGTACGTTTTCATCTGCTTGATGGGGACAAGAGGGCGCAAAGAGTTACATTATGATTAACCAATTTCGCGCTCTAATCTATAAAAATAACAATGGCCATTGCCGTAAAGTACAACTTTATTTATCTTAATTTAACTCAATAACATATCATTTTGATGGTGCTATTATATTAAGTTTTGTGTGCTCTTGATACTCACTTTTCCCCGGCAACACTGATGGGCCCTGGCTTGGAGTTGGTGGACGAGTGGCCGGTAGACTGGGTGACGGTGGTACTACGAAACAATTTCCGTCCGAGACAGATATGTCATCGATAGCGATGTCACCTTCATAAGAACCTCCAACGGATGCAATGAAAACGAGCTAGTTTGGGAGAATTTAAAGAAAAACTTACTACCAATAAAATGTTGAGCATTTAATTGTCGTTACTTTGGTGGATACTTAACCGTTTCATAATAATGTAGAAAGAAGGAAAATAACGAACAAAATCAACTGCATATAAGGAAGGGGGGGAGAAATTGACTAACGAGGACTCGGAAATTAATTTAGAAACTCTACCTGATAGTTTCCAGTAAGTGTGACTTGCGCTTTCTTCCATTGATCTCCTTGGTCACCTGCCAACTTCCAAACATTTTTTCCACGATTATTCAGCAGAAGCTCATTGATGTAATTTCCATACATGTGATAATAAAAGGTTAGACAAACCACTGGCTTAAGGTTTGTTCCATCAAATGTTAATATGGCTGTTTCATCTTGAATCCTTGGGGAGGAAGTCTCAATGTAGATATATGACCCTATAGAGGAAACAAAGAAAAAATGGAAATGCTGAGCTATATTAGGTTTGTTTACATAGAAGAAATTATTTGTGCTTGTTCAGCAACCTTCTTTCATTATTTTTGTTCCCTAACCTTTTCCACCGTGACCAGAAGATGGCCCAGTTCCAGAGGATGGAGTAGAACCACTATTTTGGGTCCAATCAAAATCATCTGTTGTTTCTTGTTTCCACGAGCAGAGATCCTTCTCAAAGTCGCAAGATGGACCTTTAGGAAATAAGTGATAAATCTGTCATTATAATAAGTGAAGTTTAGAAGTAAAAAGATCTTAGCATGTTAAATTAGCCACTATTACTTTGAAGAAATTGAGCGATACCTTAGAATATGTCATACCTTCTGGAACTCTGACACACTTATATCGATCATGTTCCGCGTACTGCGAGTTCAACAATTTGTAAGGTGGGTTTTTTTTTTAACTAAACCTCAGCTGTTCGGTTGGAATAAGATAGCCCAAAGAAGTAAATTCTAATTGCCCAGTTCCGGCTTTAATTTAGTAAAGGAGCAATTGACATGAATGTAGACTACTAGGTCTTTCATCTTAATTTGACAAAGAGGCATGTTATTTTGGACGAAACTACAAAAAGGAAAAAAGAACGGTGGTAAAGGGGAAACTGGATTGGCAGGCTCGGGTCTTAGCACTAACTGTTTTTGAAGAAGACACACTTTGCCCTCACAGTGCAAGTCTCTATTTTGATAAATGGAAGAACTCTTCGGCATAAATAGAAAATTTTCGGGAGCTTTGTGATGAGCAGCCTTGCCATCACAAGAGAATTAGCGGTACTCCTGGTAGCTACTCTACTCAAACGAAAGAGGGTCTAAATAGGGCTAACCATTTTCCGTAGAAGGGCCGGAAATATTTAGTTTGTGAATTTTTACCGATATTGCTATTGCGTTTTACCGGAGTTAGATGCTGTTGTTGGTGTTGCAGGTGCTTTAGTCGTCGTTGGTTGAGGTGGCGGTATTGTGGTTGGTGGTATAATCCCACTATTCATATTCTGGTCGATCCAATTTCTGAACTTGCCAACACGAGCAAACACTGTATATCGCTCTGCTGCAGAACATCGCGGAGAACCCCAGCTGACCGCACCTTGCAGAACCCAATTCCCAGCGGAAGTCTGACAAACATAAGGACCACCACTATCTCCGTGGCAACCACTGAGAATAGTTCCACTGACACCAGCACAAATCATGTTTTGAGTTATTTGTAGAGATGAGCCTCCTAAATAGGTTAACAAAGCAGGTGTGAAAAATCCGGAATCGACACAAGGAAACAATGTGACTTATCAGGTAAAGACCCTCTAAAATTCCTACCTGGAGAGCTTGCAAGTTTCTTTGCACACTCGCTGTTTGTGACGGGAGGTAAATTGGCCTGTTGTAGTATGTGATGCGAGGACCCGGGATGCTTAATCTTGCCCCAACCTGGAAAAACAAAGAACATTGCAATAAAGGAAAAAGGGTAAAAAATTAAAAAACTGGATAAAAAAAAAAAAATCCGTAAAATCAAAGCAGAATATTTTTTTGCGAGCCTTACATATTCCAGTTACTTCAATGGCCATTTCCTTAGGGGTTACGATAATGCAGTTATGTAAAATTCTTCAATTTCGTCTTGAATACTTTGATAGAGAAGACTACATGTGTTTAACGTTTGTTTTCCTCAAGAAAACCGTTATACTTTTTTTTGTCTTTAAATTTCACATCAGTGCGTGGGACGAAATAACAATGTTTTCAACCCAAATGGATTTAGTACAGAAAGCGATTGCTCTGTTTTCAATGTAAGTAGTATCTTCTTGACGTGGTTTCTCTCTCGTGTCATATAAAACCTCCATAATTTATTACCCTCTAAATTTGCAAGAATTCATTCTACCCTATTGAATATTATCAATTTGCTGAGCTAAACAAACCCGTGATAAAGCATCTAGAAGACGTGGGAACAACTTCATCCTGAGAAGGCAGACATACAGTTTTTACTCTGGCATTCAAGGTAGCTGGTTTAGTTAACTGAATCAATGCGATGTCGCTGTCGATGGGAATTTTGTTGTAGTCAGGGTGTACGATTACACGTTTGGCAGGAATATCTTCTTCAGTTCCCTCATTAACATGACGGTTATGATCTCCGAGGCGGATCGTGTAGTAACTTCCAGGTCTGTAACAAAGTCGGCGTTAAAGAAATGAATTATTTATGAAGAGGAAATGAGTGCGTAACAAAGAGTCAAAGTATATATGTATCTCGGAAAAAGCTGTGCTCAATCATGAAATAAAATCCAATTTCACGTAATTAAAATCAACTGTCGATCGAAATTAATAAACAAATATTTACTTGGCCTCAATGGTGTTCAAACGTTATCCAACCCGCTCGGCGCGAAATTGCTCGAGTGGGTTTTGCGGGTTTCTTGGGCCACTCAACTGAAGAGCTCATCATAACAAAAGTAGCGTATTAATTATAATTGGTCAAGGTTATGCTCTTTGCCTGGGAAAATTGTGCAAAAGGTTTTTTGGTTTTTTGCTTGTTTGTTTGTTTGTTTTTTCAATACTAATGTACGTACTGTCCTCTTGAGATACAATGAGCCGCTGTGACCACCCATTCAGGAGTTATCAATGATCCACCACAACTGAAAGACTTGCCACTTCCTCTTAAGAGCGCAATCTGAGGGGAGAATAAAAATCCCCAAACACTGAGAGGGCTTTGCAATCTAGTCTCTCTACATGTGACTCGAAAAACCCAAAACAAAACAAAGCAAAAGTCATGCGTTTTTCGCAACTGGACTGTGGAAAATCACGAATTATCAAGAAACAGCCATACCTGCCAAGGCCAACTCCCTGGGTTTGCGTTCATTCCTCCAATAACCCTCGATACTGGTGATTTACCACACGATTGCGGCGACACTACGCAATAAAAATTCGTACGATTAGGAACACCTTTTTTTCTCAACCAGGTGACAAATCTGAGTCTTTTCGCAAAATGATATTCCCTACCTGGTCCCTGTGTCGTCGGTGGGATAGGGGGAAGAGACGGTGAAGGGGGAATTCCTCCGCAAGAACCATCTTGTACAGATATATCATCAATGGCAATGTCAGCCTGATAGGAGTCCCCTGAAACTCCTTCAATTTTAAGCTAAATAGGAAAATTATCTCATGTTACTTTCCTTTATAATCAAAACGTCGTATTTTTTTTATACGTAAATTGATTGAGACGTTCAAGGCCAACAATCGTAAGTTGTCACACATGAATTATGACAGAAACAGAATCAAGAACAACGAACGATGTCTTTGAAATATCCAATATTTTACAGGATCCGAGGCCATTGCAGCGCAATTCACTTGAGTTTCCATCTCGCTTATGGATCGAGACCAAATCATATTCACGTTTATAATCGCCAACTATTAAGGAATCTAGTCATTCGTTAATAATTCAGCAGTTTTTAGTCAGTCCGACCGAACAACTTGCTATTACACATTCACTTTCTTGCGTGGGGTAATGGGTTGGCTAGATTCGGTTGTCTTTCTCAAGGAAGCATCACAACAGCCCAGCCAGAGCTCAATCAGCTTCTATACTCAACTTACGTCGTAATCACCAGAGATTGTTACTTCTGCCCTTTTCCACGAGTCTCCCTGATCTCCCTTCATGTTCCAAATTTTGCTTCCGCCGTTGTAAAGATTCAGTGCCCTGACATGAACCCCGTACATATGATAGTAGAAAGATAAGCAGACTGTCTTCCTGTTTACTCCTTTGAATTTCAAAATTGCTCTGTCATAAAGGACTCTGGGACTTGAAGTCTCAATATAAACGTAGTATCCTGTGGAGAAAGAAAAGCAAAAGCAAATGAAGGAAAAAAAAAAAAGAACAATTTATTTGAAAGGCTTCCACAGTCATCTTAACTAGAAAATTTTAAGTAGATATGTTCATCTAAGTCTATCTTTACACGAGTGTATGATTTAGGTTTAAATTTGCAAGACTTTTGGTTTCCGTATCATTTGTTTCAATTCCATTATCAATTTAACCCCAATTTCTAATTGGGGGGCGAACCCACCAATGACCTTTTATCCTGGTAACTGAGGAAAAAGTAAACGGAACCCGCCAGGTAGCAGTGGCTCATTACCAATTAAAAGCCAATGTGGATACGTATCCCTTAATAAAGGAACAAGTAAAATGAAAATGCCATGTTATTTTAGATGAATAGAAGAGGTAGTTTTCAAATAGTATCCTCAGCGAGCAGTTGCTTTATATCCTCTAACCTTTTCCACCGTGTCCAGAAGATGGTCCAGTTGCACCCGAAGGAGTAGAGCCACTGTTTTTGGTCCAATCAAAATCATCTGATGTTGCTTGTATCCACGAGCAGAGATCCTTCTCAAAATCACAAGATGGATCTAAAAGAAATAAACAATTGATTAACAGGGAAGTCAATCCATTTTGGACGTAAAAAATATGTTCAATCTTTTCGTACTTAGAAAGATTTATTATTTTAGCCCGTCAAATACAACTGTTTCATTAGCAAAATCTAACTTCGTGAAGTCTAAGGCTTTTTTCTTATTTTCTTTGTAGAGTTTAATGTAAACAATTTAGGGGTTCGGGTATTCCCTAGAACATTATCTTCTGGGCTTAGACTCAAAAATTCTTATCTCCATCCTGCTTTGCGCATTGGGAGCTCGGCTACATGAATGGTTTTGCTTTGCAAACGTAGTCATTTGTACAGTCCAACAAACTCCATCTATTTGTTTGTTGCGTACTAGGAAGCAATGATAAGCATATGTTTTTGATTCGCCAATCTCGAGCTTCGTAATTCACTCCAATTATGCGGAAGACCTAGACACTTCAAGGCCACATGCATCTGGTGTATAATATAACAAATTAAAAATTAAAGGAGTTTATATATATTCGTTTGACAATGTGTTTGTGCAATAATGTTCAATAAATTAAGTTTTTGTCAGAAGGTAGAGGTGGAACAAACAAACTTCCTCGGCAAACAAGAACCTTGAATTTGATCTTGCGAATCGCATACGGTCAAGGAACGAACCGCGTCAAGATGCTGAGATATTTTTATTTGCATTTGGGGATTGTTACATTTTGCTATAAAGTCGTAAGGAGACACGATTATGTTCTTGAGTTAGCAGGTAACGAAACAAAATATTTAATAACTGACTCCATGGGAAACAGTTAGTTTTGTTTCTTCTCGACCCCTTTGTTCCCTTCGGCTTCGCCACGTCTCTCGTCTTCGGCGAACAAACAAAACTATTTGTTCGCATTGCGTTAGACTTTAATTAACGGTTATGACATGAGAGAAATAGCACATTTCAACAACAGAAAGCACAAAAATGCGAAAGTTTAAACGCTCGAGTCTTTTCTGCCAAAGAAGCATACAAACAAGTTAATAGAAAAAAAAACCACTCTAGTGGTTATGGGCTCGTGTTTCAGCCTCATTGGATCGTTACAACTGGTATTCAGCCATTGTTCCTTCACATTGAACTACCATTATGAGACCACAGCTTCGCTCTTTTGAATTTTTTTTTTAAATAAAATTTGACCTTTTGGGCTATTGTTTATATAATCATGATGAAAAACAGTGAATCTAGAATCCAAGAATCTAGCTGATTATGAATTCTTTCGTACCTGAAGATGACGCTATGACATACGGTAAGATAGCGCCTGTCCATTTTCTTGTCGTTATTGATCGCGCTGAACGCTTATTCGGATTTTCTGTTTAGTTACAACCTACTGCTTCTCGGTTACAGACAAAGTTAAGCACATGCTTCGCAAATTAAACGATTTTACCTTTGGGGTCTGAAGCGATCGTAGAGGCCAAAAGGCAAAGGCAAACCACGAGACCCTTCACGTCCAACATCCTGGAAAAACTGAGTTCAATGGTTTCTCACCACGAATTTTAGAACTTGAAATAAAGTAAATGTGCTTGTGCGAGTTTACTTAACTGCTACAGATGACCTAACATAAGTTGCTATAATGAAAGAAGTGTGAAAAGGATTGACCAAAGACCTACTCTAATTTCTTGGGTAACAAAAATGTGTTAGAAAATTTTGTTTGTTAATGGTGCTTCTCTCTTTTGATTTCGGTTTCTCTTGAGTACATCGATATATTGCGAAACCTCATAATTTATTCTAAGCCCCATATTTCAGGTTCGAATGAAATTTCAAAGCGTAACACTTGGAAAAGGCTAAGAAAGCTCTTAAAGAGATAGGTGTTTAAGGATGTACTGATTGAATGAAATGTCCTGATTGCAAAATTGAGTATTTTGCGTCCAAGATTTTTTAAACGTTTCATCAAATAAAACATCGAAGGTGAGAGCTGCTGAATTGTATGTCTCGAAGGAAAAATATATACACCAGATATTACACACTTTTTTAAAGGAAAACAGTGAAGGATATCATTTCTAATTATTAGAGATTCAAAAACTGGGAAAAGCCGACTTGATAGTAGTGCTCTAAAACTAATTTTAAGAATAAGTTGTTAAGCTGACATAGATTTTTCAGGTAGTTCATCTACCCACCCATTCATGCTTTTTTTTTTCCAGGGAACAAATCTCACCTTTCTTTTGCAATGTTAAATGGTGCGTGTCAGGGATGGGGTAGGGGGAACCTTCAATTGTTCTAAAAAGTGATGAAAAAGATAAATCAGGGTAATAATAAGTACTTTAGGAAAACTTGCAAAATATCTGTGGTTCTCAGATCGCTCTTTAATTAGCTTTTTTCCCTAAGAATATTTCCTTTGGAAGTTTAAGATAAAAAATAATTGAGATGATATTTGCTGTGCTTGAAACGTTGAAGGACACTGAACACACTAGTAAATACTTATGTTTCGCGATGACTCTTGTTAAAAAGAGTTTATTGCCTTGAAAGATTTAAAAACCCGACGACGGCTGGGTGGTTTTATAAATTATTTTTGACGCATTGTTATTCAATCGGGGAGGAGGGGAATGGGAGCTAAGGCAGCGGGTTGAGCCGTTGACTACCGTGATGCATTTCAATCTCCTTGAACAAAGCCTCTCTGAATAAAACGTGGGGTCCACAGTTTTGGTCTTCATAATCCTTTGGAATACGTAAAGAACGAAATGTTACTCTATCAGAAACTTAAAATTTTATAAGCCTTTTTTTCTTTGACTTGAGAAATCTTATGAAAGCCTTTACAAAGACTCCAATACATTCAACAAAAATACCGAGGGAAATTAAAAGATGTGGAAGAGTGGACCCGCGTAGCACTTTGTTTACACGAGACCTGCTAAAGCGTTTCGCAGCTGTCCCCTCTTTTCAACATTAAGTAAACAACACTATAAAAATACGTTTGACACAATTGAAACATTTTTGCAGTCCTTCAGCTGATCGAACAAAAGTTTGCTGACTGAGTGTTATATTAGGTAACAAAAGAGTTCGAGGTTACAAGACAAATAACTCGAGGCGTTGGCTGAATTTTAGCGTAATTTAAGAGAGGTATGTGACGAATTCGATTGTAATTATAGGAAAGAATGGCTAGTTGATGTGACGCTGAAGTGATACAGACAATTTTTTTTTGTAAAAAAGCACACAAAAGGTTCTTTTACATTGGAAATAAATATATTTTCAAATGAAAACTTTCAGTTTAATTTCATAAAAATAAAGACAAAGTAAACATATAGGAATCCGAGAAAAGTGCAAGAAAAACTATCAGGTAAATATAATATGATCCAAATAGAGGGTGAGAGGGGACAGGAGACAGAAAAAATATACACACTCAATGTTTTCATGCATTCTTTTTTTCCACTGTATCAGTAAAATTAAAAAAAAAAGTTTTTCTCTTTCAAATTCATTATTTTATAAAGAAAAACGAGGCTTAAATGGTGTTCCACCTATCTAGGAGCGATTACAAATGTCGACTTATTGACCGAAATTTTTCTCAATTCTTTGTTTTTCCCAAGGTTTGGATCGAATATTAAAAATTAGCTGGCTGTTGAATAATTCTCCATTTTTTGCGTCACGAGCCAAATTTGATTCTCAGCAAAAACCGCCCAAGAGATGAGCGATATTGAGTGTTAATTGTTAGATTTTGTCAAACGCTGCGAATGAAATACTGTGGCCGGCACAACGGAAAAAAAAATTTTGCCACAATTTTTAAGGCGTTTTCCGTTGGTTGAAAAATAAAATGCGAAAACGTAAGTGACAATATTTTGCGCATCAGCTCGAGTTGATGAGACCTTTCCTTGCGAACTGTGCAAACTGTCAAATTAATGTCGTCAAGTTAAAAGGAAGATTGCTCAAAAAAGGAAACAAAATAGCATGCAATAAGCTGGTTGTGCTAACTAGTCCATTTGTTGCATGATAAGCTAGGTGGGTAACAAACAAAAAAGAAAAAAATGCGAAGCTTTGTATAGATGTGGATATGGAAAAAAGCTTTCTCAGTATCCCCTGTGCAGATCTAATAAATCTTGATTGGAGGGGAAGCGGGTATAGAGGATCAGTTCTCTCAGCTCATATTCTGTTATAAAGGAATAAAAATTCAATGCCAGGAAAGCACGATCGGTTTCAAGTGGGAAATAAAAACCTTTTTGGCGAAAAACTTTAGAAGTGAATGCGTCTTCAATCGAAAATAAACGTTCAAACTGAAAGATAGTGTCTTAAATCTGAAATAGCGTCTTTAATTGGACTATATTCTCAAGGAGGGACGATAGCGGCTTACATCAGACCTCAGCTTCCGAAACCGGATAATAGCCGTGCCTTAAATCGCAACAGAGCGTCCAAAACTGAACGAAAACGCTTAAAATCGGACAATAACTTCCATTCTAGCGGAGAACGTCGCTGAAACCAGAAAGGGGAACAGGAAATAGAGAATGGGTTCCCGGGACTCAAAGGACAGCGGTTACCCGCATAACAATTCAAAAAGGCGAAGGAAAATACTTAAAGGGTCTGCACACCATACTTGAGCAAGCAATCCTCGAATTCCGTCGTTAAATGAAAAAGGAAAAAGTATGGACAATAAATGAAATTATATTGAAGGGCCTTTAACTTGATCTAACTGTTGCGATCGAGTGGCCGAGAATCAATCGAAGGCCTTAAAACATTTGAAAAGTTAATTCATAGGATCCTTAAGCAGTCACAATGGCAATGCTGGGAAAGGCGTCGATTAAAAAATTTATTTAAACTTTTTTGTTGGAATTTCGCAAATGGCCGGATGTGTTTACCGTCTCTAAGGGCAACACACCCCAAACATAAAGTATGTGAGTAACACTGAGTTCCAATTGGAAAATAAAATTTGCCGTCGGAGTTTCTGTTCTCAGTCAGTGATAGAGTTCCTAAGAGGTAGAATATCGATAAGAAACAATTTAACGTACTTTCAAATTTCTCATTTGAGAATATATAGCCGTCAGTAATTAAAAAAAGCCGTTGAACCGTATGATAACTGTTCTTTAATGCATAGAGCATTTCAACTTCCTTTTAGCAGTCGTAGTGAGAGCTGTTTCAATTTTCTTGTTAGAAGATATTCTAACAGTGAAAATGCTCGTGGATAATAAAGAAAAGCCTTATCAAAGATATAATAACTTTTTTTTTTGTTCAGGTGCTTGTTCCTAACATTGACAATAATCTGATCTGTCAATATTGAGATCGATAATAATCCCAACTTGATTCAACAGGTTACTTTGGAAGCCTCCGCAAAACCATAATTAACGGAACAGTTGTTCACGCATATTACGTTTCTACAATGTAAACCAACTTA